GGGGAGGGTGTGTGTGTCAAATTTAGGGCTGTAATCCACATTCAGACCAAGGCACTTCCTCAAGAAATTCTGGAAGAGATTCTTTGCATTGTTATGCAAAGTATACTTTAAAAATAATGAGAGAGATGTAAAGAGATTTCCTCTTCATTATGACAGAGCAAGAACAAAGAGTGCAAACTGGGGGAGACAAATGGAAAACAAAACCTGACATGCATCTCATACTTACGGAGAAGCTTAGAAAACTTTCAAATAAACGAGGAAAATGACACAACAGCTCAACAACCCTAGCTGTATAATAAAAGTTAATACCTGCATGATGATAAACATTGCAGCATAACAAACTTGAAAGGGCAAATAAAGTCAGACGACTCCACAGAGTATCAGGCATAGACCAATCTCCCTAAATACCCAAGTTTTGAACTATCACATAGCCAGCTCACACTCGAAGCACAATTACTTAGCCTGAAATCTGGAGGGGATTTTTGGATCAGTCTTGGGAGGGGGGGTGGGAGGCAGGGAGGCAAAAGCACTCTCAAATCTCCAAGCACAGCACTTTCAGATCTCTAGGGACATACCACCTGCATTATATTTGTGTATGTATTGTGAAGTATACAGGCTGTATGGCACTCCATGTTAGATACACCCCGTCTGTATAGAACTCCCACAAAGCCATTTCCTCTCTTCACCCTTATGCTGACAGGTGTAACAGTCCAAAGAAGAGCTTCCACATATGCGTAACATCTTGGCAATTTAACCACATACCAAAGCAATAACAGCCTTCTATGGATTCTCAAAAGGAGCTAAGTTTTAAAGTTTCTAATGCAAAAGTTAATGTAGTAAGCCTCCCAAGTTAGATATATCAAACTTAGATTCTGCAAAACATAACTCTTAGCTGCCTGGTCCCACAGAGGAAATCAGACTCACTGCCTCAAGACAGGGAATGTCAGCAGTAACCCCCATTCCCCAAGCACCTCACACAGACCAGGTGCCAAATGCAGTGCTCCAGGCAGACACTTTCAGATGCCCAGTGTTTAGAGCCCAGAAGCCTCCTCTAAGGGTGAGATTCCTCCAACTATTCTTTCAAAGGATACACAAAGCCTCTCAGTTTCTTCTTCATGAGACACAGAGGACAAGACTCTTATGTGAAAGCCTGCATCCTGCCATACCCGAGTACGTCCTTAAGATAAGACAGTCCTGTGTTAAATGCTCTCCTTTAAAGCCCCCCAGACTTATGGAGATTCATAGAATCGCTTTGGTTGGAAAAGACCTTTAAGATCATCGAGTCCAAACATTAACCTAACCCTGCCATCCCACCACTAAACACCCTAAACCCACGCCCTAAGCACCTCATCTATCCTTCTTTTAAATACCTCCAGGGATGGGGACTTGACCACCTCCCTGGGCAGCCCATTCCATAGTCTGCCAACCCTTTCAGTGAAGAAATTTTTCCTAATGTCTAGCCTAAACCTGCTCTGGCGCAACTTCAAACCATTCCCCCCCGTCCTATCGTCCGTTACCAGGGAGAAGAGGCCGACCCCCACCTCGCTACAGCCTCACGTCAGGCAGTTGTAGAGGGCGATCAGGTCTCCCCTCAGCCTCCTCTTCTCCAGACTAAACAACCCCAGTTCCCTCAGCCGCTCCTTGTAAGCCTCGTGCTCCAGACCCCTCACCAGCTTTGTGGCTCTCCTCTGGACATGCTCCAGCAAGGCAACAGCTTTCTTGTAGTGAGGGGCCCAAAACTGAACACAGTATTCAAGGTGCAGCCTCACCAGCACCGAGTACGGCCGGCTGTCAACCAGTACCCCCAGGTCTTTTTCTGCCAGGCAGCTTTCCAGCCACTCTTCCCCAAGCCTGTAGCACTGCATGGGGTTGTTGAGAACATCCCATCCACCAACTGAGTCTGGACAGTAGCACCTTTCTCCTCTTTGTGTCTCTGTGCACGTTTATACACCAAGCAAGAGATAAAGCTGGAGACCACCTGCATCAGTAGCCTACCGGTTTGGATGCCTGACTGGAAGGGGAGGCAGCAGATCAGACAGCGCTTGGTTTTCAGCTTCTGGTGCCCAGAATAATTTCCTACCTGGTAGCCATCATTTCAACAAATTGCCTGTCTCCAGTTTTGTCCTAGAGCCTTCTGGGTACACTTGAATAATGTTACTTCACTAGCACTTTACACTGATGGGCACTATCACTGAAGGGAGAAGTCCCACCTGTGCCATTACTCCACCCCTTCCCACACATCACTAGCAACAGATCCCATAGCGCACAGTGATCCAGACTGGAGGAAAAAGACCCCAAAACTTCAAGTTTTTGAAACCTGGGAAGTGGGGGTGCGAACCAAAAGGAAAACACAATGCCTCCCACTGGTGCTAATGGAAAGGAGGGAGGGGCACACTACTCCTCTTTGACAGCCTGCAGTGGGTGAGCAAGCCTCAGAAAATAGACTGTACTTCCACGGCAAATTCTATTTACCCTAAATCTGCCCTACTGTGGTCCTATCCTTCCTTGCAGCAGCTGTAGCATTTGTGGTTTTTTGGGGTGGAGCAGCCAAAGAAGGAATTAAGAGGGATGGGTGCTGGGTTAGTTGTCTACCAGTTCAGCTCCCTGAACAAGCTCACCCTGGGATTGTTTGCCAGTTTACTGCTCACCCCAGTGTTGGTGTCACACGGGAGTGGGAAGGGGAGGCTACAGTAGTGCCAATTTGTACCTGACCAAACAGCTCCAGAGGAGCTGAAGCTGGAGGCAGCCGCCAGCACTCTGGGTCTGACCCAGCTTGGTAGGGAGAAAGGCAGAAAGGCATTATGTCTTTCAGACCAGGGCAGAATTAGGCCCACACCTGGAGAAACATATTGCCTGGAAGGAAACTTCCTGCTTCATGCCAGTATCTCCAGGATTAGGGGATATCTAAGAGATTCATTTGGCAAATCCAGCTGTATGCTTAACATGCCTAAATTCTGCAAAGCAGCCCTCACTGTTCCTAATCTTTTGCTTCTAAACATTAAACAACAACAACAAAAAAAAATCAAGCAAACTATATATATGGTTCAGTAACAAAATAACTCAGACTAAAAAGCCTAAAGGCTTCCCTGGCTCTTGTAATTTTACTGGAAATGGCTACTCCAGAATAGTACTTTTTGACACCAACAACTCACCCATAAAGAAATTTGTATACTTGTTCTGGAATAAAACAATCCACAGAAGCTTATACTGAAAAATTCCAGAATAGCTATTCTAGACTTTTTCTTGCAATCAATTGCTGAAAAAAGTAAAGCCCTGAAGGCTGAAGAGAAGGCAGAAAATTAAATAATAATTAAAAAAAATTACTGCAAAATTTTGCAATATAAAGTAAAGTAGTAGATGAGGACTAACCTTTTTTCCAGGTTTTAAACTTTTTTTCCTTGTTTTAAGATTTTCAGTATGAGAGGTGCTTTTTGTCAGGGGAATATTTTTAGGAGACCTGCCCTTCTTGGGAACTGCAGACTGTCCAGGGGGTTTGCCCCGACCTGGTTTCCTGCCCCGTTGCGCTGGTACTGGAGCAGATTTCTGTGGAGACTGCATTGAACGCCGGGTCACTTTGGAAGGGGAAGATTGGATTTTTGCACTGCTCTTTGTAATGGAAACTGAGGAAAAACAAAAACAAAAGGGAAGGGGGGGAAAACCTCAAAATGAACGATGGAAATTAACTTTTCTAACAAAGGCTTAAAAAATAAAAATGTACTGCACAATTTACATTGTAAAATAAATATACTTGGATATTTTGAACTTAAGTGGTTGGCATGAAACTATATAACTTCATGAAAGTCAACAAGAGAACTCTTTTATCTCCATTCTTTTAGAGGGACATTCCTAAAACATTCAAATAAAAATAAAAAAAAAGAATGAATCCACTCACCTTATAAATGCTTCCCATAATTTAATTACAGTATTTATAAAGTGCCATTCATCAAGAAGGCTTTCAAAACACTTCCCAAATTACACAGCCCATAATACATCCGTTCTCCTCTAAGAGCAGTTTCCACGATTATGAGACATGCCAATCACTTCTAGGGAGCTACAAACCTATTTTGAGCAGCAAAGAAAATCATCCCGCTGAAGAGGACAAACTGATGATAGGCAAAGTATCATTAGTGAGCACTTGTCTGAGATGCCAATTTAGAAAGTGAAGTTTACATCACTTTACCCAGACTTGTCTACCTGGAGGCATCCAGACTTAAAATTTTATTTGGAAGCAGGACTTCCAAAAAATCAAAGTACCATTTTTATTCATTCTTAACACTGAAATGGTTCTCTGTTGAATCTCCCATCCCAATACAAAATTGATCCAATTTGTATATGATCTGGTACAAAGCTGCAAAATGTAATCAGATTTCATTGAACAGAATTTCCTAGTTAGCAATCTTTTCAACCCAACTCATGCTTCTCTGAAGTAATAATGATGATTGTATTTTAACAATTCCCTTCACAATGGACAGATTAAAACACCAGGAGGATGTCAAACAGAACCTATGGATAAGGACATAACCTCAATGAAAAGATGTACCGCACCATGCTACAGCAGTACCCGCGGCCAACAAAAAGCAATTACTAAGTCCAAAAGTCCAACAAATATTCTGTTTTGTTGGCCTGACTGCTGGCAGGCAGGCAGACAGATGCCTAAGTTGCAGAAGAGGTAAGTAGAAGATGAAAAGGGGAGATTTTGTGGCATCAAACCACCCTTGTTGTGAGAGGTATAGGAAAGGAACACGCAACATATCTGAAACCGTTTGAAGCCTTTACACTAAAATTAGATGGCTTTCTAGTATCACGCTGCCCCTACCACAGCCTTTCGCATCTCGCTGATGATGAAACTCCCGTGATTCACCCTAACCTTAAACACTATGACCTTAATGTGACACAACTTAGAAAAATTGCAAGTTAGGGTTCAAGCGGGCTTTGACTGTGTCAGTCACCAGCGCCTGATCCAAAGTGCTACTGCAGACTGAAAGTAGAGCATAAGGGGCTGCTAACAGTTAATTTCCTGAAATTTTGTGAATTTGGAATATGTCTTCTCCTAAAATATTAGTATGTTGGGGCTTTCTGGTAAGCCAGTAACAAAATAAAACTCAAAGATATATTTGAAATGAGATCCTGAGAAAAGAACATACTTAAAAGATTGAGTAACAGTGCTAATGTCTAGCTCTATGAGTGGTATTCACCTTAGCAGCCTCACACCTAGCTTTACAACTGTTACTTTAACTCTGAATTTTTATTCACGAGTTAACTGTTATTTAGTATTTGCAATTGGAAATATCACAGTGAGGTGGAATACACACTGCAGACAGACTTCTTATAATATACAAGTACTACTGACACAAATTTTTAAAGCCATAGGAGCATTTACATACATCGCTATTTGTTCGATTCAGTTACTAATCTAATATTCCTAAATGGCGGTTCAGAAGAAATCTCTTCATTATGGCTGGTTGCAATCCTAATACATCAAATACAGACATGATATCCCTAGGTAACTGAGAAGGACCACCTTCTGGATGTGCAAAGCGATCACTTTCCTTTTATTTATGTATGCCAAAACTTATTTTCATATGCAATGGCAGCTTAAATAAAGATGAACAGAACTTTAAACAAATGCTGGCATAGCATTACTCTTCTGCCTCCAAATTGCTGAACGACAACTCGCATTAAGCTGTACGTCTGGAAAGCAGAACAATATCAACTGTATGCTGTACAATGCAGTAGTACATATTGCGTCCTGCATTATGCTTACACCAACGTAAAATGCAGCCATTTTTATTTATTTGTGCCGCACAACTACGCCTTTAACAAAACAATCCTGACCTCGTAAAGAAATGCTGTTTCATAAATTCTTTGTGCCTGTGCCTATGCTGAAATCTAGCAAAAGCATTTCTATTCTCGCAAAATAAAGACACAGCTACGGTTAAATACACAGCTAATCGCAACGTCAACAGGTTCTAGGAGCACAGGTATGAGTTTCGGGACACTGGGCAATCCCTGCTCCCTTCCAGAAGGACATTTACCGGACAAAGAGTAACAATGCAAACACCTCCAACCACTTCAGGCTGCCCTCTTGAACCGCACACATCAAGTACCCTTATCTCAGCGTCTTCCTACCTGTATACGCCAGAGGACCAAATACTAGCAGCATTAACCATTAAGGGGGGGGACAGGTCCCATTTGGTATTTTTCCTTCTGCCTAGGGCTGAAGCCGCTTTTTTCGGTAGGCAGGACTGCAACAAAGCCCATGCTGCCCGGGCAGCCTCCTGGAGATAGCAGCAAATGAGGAGGCTGCTATTTGCATTTGTTGATTTAAGAGAGGATGGGGGGAGCGCAAGGGAGTGGGAGACTGCTGAAGTAATTCCCATATTGTCTGCAGGCTGTATTGACAGTGATCATCAGTCACCTGCTCATACTTCCTTCACCCCGGCCTTCAGAGGGAGACCAAAGGTTACGCTGGGTCACAGGATCTGGAGGGAAATGAAAAGACATGCAAAATCGAGCTGCCAACCCACTGCATCTGTAGACAGAGTTATCCCCACTAGGCCACATGTTCCAAAAACTAAGACGTTTTAATAGTCTCACGAGAACTTGTTAAAATACAACGATGAAGAGAATAGAGAGGAAAAATGCCAAGCTCTGCTTGCAATTACTGCAGTATTTAGCTGGGATATTTACAACCCGAAAAAGCACATTTGCCTTTTCAGGATGCTGCTTTGCATCACAAAGGCCTTCTCATCTGCACAAACAAAATCAAGCATTTGTGTCCTGTTGCTCTTCTACACAAATACCCACTGCTCCAGTTGCAGGAGTGGGATGCATTGCATGGCATTCTTTCCCAAGTCTCTTATTTATACCCAAAACCTGTACCGGCGTCCTCAGTAACTGAAGAACAGAGATCACGCTACACAAACACACTTTACTACAGCAATGTTAGCAACTAAACAGCGTTTTCAAAGTTCACAGAGCTCTAGTTATACTGTCATGTTAGTGAGGGCTATAGGCGACTACCTTCACACAACACACAAACAGCTTTCATACTTTCAATTACTGCTCATTCAAAACAATTTTTTTTTTCCCCCCCAACCCGTTCTGTGAGAATCCCAGCACCTACGAACTTTGTATCCACGGTATGTAAGAGAAACCCCAAATCCAGTATCTTAGAACTCACAGCCTAAAGATGCATTGCCACCACTCAGTCCTCATTCGCACAAGCAGATCCACTGGAGTCAAATGAGCTCATTTGCATGAGAAGGACATGAAAGATTAGACTTTAGATGAGGGCCAAATTCTGCTTGTGGAAGCAGAAAAACCGCCCAGACACATGCAGGACTGAAAAATTTGACCCCAGAATGTTATCCCCAAGATCTCTTGCCAGAATAAGTCAGATGCTTGAGACAACTGTGAAACCTGAAGCTACCAAAACCTCCAGCGCTTGAGAAGGGGCTGGGACAGATGACAGCTCAGAAGCCAGAATTCTCATGCAATTCTAATCAGTAAAATTCCCTCAAATAATCCACAGTGATGGTTTCACTCCATGTTTTTATGGAAAGCAAGGGAAAAGAATGTTCAGATTTGTAATATTTAAAGATTAGAAATCTACCACTCAGTTAGTGTTACAGAGCAGCAATTACAAGACAAGACTTTAAAAGCCGAAGTGAAATTACATGAAGCAAGGTAGGGGCTCATTTTGCCGTACATTCTGTGAACACAGCATTCCTACCTTAGGTGAAGGTGCCAATTAGGACAGTAAAAACAGTAATTCACTGTTTAAGCCAGCATTTCTTTCAAGACAGAAACGATTCTATTTGTACTGCAGTATTGTTCCTGTGCCCCCACTGAAACGCAAGCTGAATGTTCTTCTGAGAACATAAAAACCTGGCCCTTATCTCATCCACAGATAGAAAAAAATGAGGCGAAGAGATTTAGCAACTTACCCTAAATCCATGTGAGCTTTCCACAGCAGAAATAATGGAAACATACCTTCTGAGATCTAGCCCGGGATTTTAGCTATAAAATTAACCTCCTTTAATACAGAAATTATCATCATGATAGTTTTGACAACTGGCAAAGGAGGTGGAAAAGATTAGCAATTTTTCAAAACAGCTTACTGCCAAGGATTATAAAAATGTATGTCCTTATGTCTCAATTGAACAAGAGAGCCATACAAAAGCATAAGCATCTGTAATACATGCCACCTCTTTCTATGTGTGTTTGGATTACTGCTGGTTAAGAGGTAGCTGTGAGATACTAATTGATATGTTGCTATGATACAAAATTAGTTACAAGTCATCATTTTGCTATCTAAAAAGCAACGCTGAACTTGGAAACTTCAATATCTACCTTGGCAAGACATGGACATAATGGCTTGCAATTTACTTCTTTCTGGATTTTAGTTTCTGCTACCAGTATAACAAAAAAAAAGGAAAAGAAAAGAGGGAAGAGGGAAGAGGGAAGAGGGAAGAGGGAAGAGGGAAGAGGGAAGAGGGAAGAGGGAAGAGGGAAGAGGGAAGAGGGAAGAGGGAAGAGGGAAGAGGGAAGAGAGAAAAAGAAAAAAGGAAAAGAAAAAAGGAAAAGAAAAAAGGAAAAGAAAAAAGGAAAAGAAAAG